ATGAGGAGATCGGCTGTCGAGCATGACTGAAAAGAAACATCTGTACATTAGCATTACCTGGTCCAGGAAAAACACCAGCAGGAGGTGGACATGGATCACGCCCAAATCGGTAAAAAATAAACTTCGTCCTGTTCGATGAATAGTAAATCGTCTGCGACATATCAGTAGATCGTTTAACAGAGTCCTCAGTTTGAGGAAGGAGATACTCAGCTCCATATCAGTCGACCATCACGGCAGTGAAGAACGGGGGAATGCGTATTAACGTCTGACAGCGCTGAGATTCAGTCTCTCTCCAAGGAAGGTTACATGCAGTTCCTTGTATGAAAGACACGCGTCCTCCACCATAACTCTAACAGCCAGAAGAAAGTACATCCCCGAACCTAATAAGCGACGTTCGGCATGCTGCGCAGCAACTGAAGGAAGCAAGAGCCATCGATAGCTCTGACGGTCTGGCAATAATAGCAAATAGTGCAGATGGCAGGCGACATGGAGGCTTCTAGAGGAAAGGTTCAGTTTCTACATAGAAACGGAAAAGATTATCAAGCCGGCTGAAAAACAATCGACTTGTTCAACAAGGGAGAGAAAGAGGATCTGAAGAACGATCGTTCAATCTGCCTGTTCTCCGAGTCTACATGCTCTTCACAAAGATTATCACCAATGGACTGTCAACAAGTTTGGACGAACAGCAGCCAAGAGAATAGGAATGATTCTGAAAGAGGTATAGCACAAAGGATAACGTTCAACTCCGCGAGCGTTTGAGGGCATTCCAGCTCCCTTTGTGCATGGCTTTCGTCGATTTCCAGAAAGTTTGATATTGGCGAGTCAACACAGTTTGCACTGCCATGCTAGAACCCGGAATCGACACCCATTATGTCAGCTGCTAAATGAAGCTAGCTCTGGCTGTTTCACAAACATCACTTTGTTCGACACCCACTTGGATTTTCGTAGAGAAGAGCATGAAACATGCGGACGCCATCTCCCTTAAATTCGTTAGGGATGGTTTTCCGGAAGAAAAAGTGAAAGAGTGGGGTTAACATAAATGGTAAATGGCTTAACCACTTAAGCTTCACCGATGACTTGGTATTGTTGGTGGGAAATGCCAGTCAGCAATATGGAATTCGGTCGAAAATGAAGGTACTACGATCGAATTGGATGTTTTGCCGGAAGCCCAGGTAATGGAAATTGAATGGCGTAAAGATCGAAGTCGATAAATACATTTACCTGGACCAAACGATCAACATGTGACATGCTCAGGTTGGAGAGATTCAACGAAGAGAGGGAGCAGGTTGCTGCGCGTTCCGTTCCATCGAGGAAGCCCTCGATAAAATCAGGAAAGAACCCCGCGTCCACCTGTTCATTTTTTCGTTCTGTATGTAATATTTTGTAACACTGTAAGAAGTGGTTGCTCACTAAAGCGGAAGAGCGCCTCGGCATGTTATCGAAGGTCCTACGAAAAGAAGAATGTTGAGAATTTCAAGTCACGACCACTTCCAAAGCACGGTGACCAGGCAGCGAATGGGAGTGAAGGACATTGTCGTCGAAAACAAAAGGGAAGATCTCTGTTGATCGCCGACTGGTACCCTCACCTGCTTACTAGGCCGCTTGGTCGTCTCGTCCACCGCAACTGTGGGAATATTATATCAGGTACCGGGAAGGTCTCGCTTTGAGGGAGAAGACTCGAAACGGCGAGGAATTGCGGGTAAGTTGCAGTCGATGCGGTCGATGCAGTTTATCTCCGATTATCGGCCTGTCGAAGTGATGCAAATCAGTTACAAATAAATTATTTCA